CTTTTTATGCTGGGCATCGACGCGTTGGTCGACGAGATGATGATGAAAGAAAGAGGAAGAAGAAATTTGAAACGCTGAAGAGATGCAAGTGGTGATGGAGGAAAAGGAGGAGGAAGAGGAGGAGGAGGAGGAGGAGAGTGGAAATGGAGTTAATAATGGCGAGTTGACAATGACGATGGAATATTTCAGTAGCAGAAATTTTTAATAAAGGGTTTTTTGTAAGTCCTTAGATAAAAAATATGTTTTCGTGTGCAAGACAAATATAAGGATTTATCTGTCTAAGATAATATTAAAAATGGTAACACAACTATTCTCTCGAGAAAATTTTTTCACGTACGGGAGAGAAGTGGGAGAGTGGACAAAGTCTCAAGTTTGTTATTTAATGGCGTAATTGGAAAATTTTTTGACAACCCCATTCTAGAAGTTTTTGGAAATATTTTAGACTATAAATAGTCTGTAACGCTGCAGCTATAATGAAATAGCCGGTTATAATGCCGTTATAATAAAATATAAGACAGCTAACGTATTTATATATCTAAATATAAATACATTAGAGAATTTATATTATTCTCGAGATAATTCAATTCGGGTTCGAGCGTTAGTGGGTTTGTGTACATTGAGTCGAATCGATGACAGCTGTGTACGCTATCCTGCGACCATTATTCCCTTCACCAATAGAGAGACAAAGAAGATAGCCGAGATTTACATACGATTCTTGATCAATCCCCAGAAAGAAAATAATATGATAAAATAGACTGTTAAAGGCCTATCGTATCTCACTAGCCACGTTGAAGTCAAAGAAGAGTTGATCAAAAATCAACAAGCCGTCAAAATGATAATCAAGCACGCTCGGGCCAAGACTAACGATCAATCGATTATCTTCGGCCTGACTATTATATTGGTAAACTTGTGCAGCAGCGCTTATGTCGAGCAAGAACACATGCCCGAGATGATAGAATTGGTAATATTTGCTGAACGTTATTTTGAGGGATACAGAAACGTAGTGGGAAGACTGGGAAGAGGACTGAGCGTGTTAGTGGATGCCGGTGTGACCAGCGTTCTGGTGAGCCTCGGTAAAACGGATAGCCAGAACTGCAAGGAATTGATGGCCCGCGTTTTCCACGCGATTTGTAGTTAACAGGATTTGAGAGAATTAGTTGGTGGTCGACATGGCGGCGCGGAGACATTATTATCGTTAGCACTGAGTGGCACACAGACAAGGGAAAGAAATGCTTCACGAGCCCTGGTCTATCGTAGACTCACGCCCTACGATTGCATTTCCCGGTGATTTAATGATGAAAGTCATACAACCTATAACAAATCTCTTTACCTCGGATTGTTCCCACGTTGAGACGCAATGTTCTAAGAGCTTTCTCGAATCTAGTGGAAGAACTTATAAATAAGAGAAGTCGTCGGGACGTGGAAGACATCGTACAAAAGTTTCTCAAAAACGGACTGATAAATTCCATAAAGAAATTGATTATTAATATCATAAACGACAAGGAATTAGTATTTCTTGCTCTAGAAAAAGCAACAAAATTAGCCAGAATCGAAAAAAATGAGAAAAGGATTAAACTCACGACAGATTAAATTTGATAAAGAGGAGGATTAACATATGAATAATTAATTGGGATCAAAATGATCCCAATCGACATTAATAGAATATTCAAATCTTATCCCAAGCAACACAGTATCGTTCAAAATACGTTTAATAAACGTTAAAAATTTATTTTAAACGTATAAGTCGATTAAAGAAACGTTTAAAATGTAATACGTTTTTTAAACTATTTAATAAACGTTTTTATAACGTTTATTAAATAGTTATAAAAACGCTTTATACAATTTTTTTAGACACATTTATTCTTTCACGTAATTGTAATTATAATAAAACGTTATGCATTACAAATAAAATGTTTAATTATATTTATAATCAGAATTAATTTTCAGAAAGTTTGCATATAACTTTTTTAATTAAACAGGAATAAATTTAAGTATACATATATGTGCATGTGCGCGAATCATTCGCAATTCAAGTTAGTACATGACAAAGATCGCTAAACATGTATAATTTTTTTTCTCGGTTTACGCCAACCGAGCCAATCTAATAAGTATAATAATATAAATATGCAGTCATTAGACTCGTAAAAATGTCAACAGATTAATAAAAAGCTATACGAGTCATGCGCGGTACGTGGTACGTAAGTAAAGAAATTAGTAGTTTCTCTGGCTGCGCTTGTGTATCAAAAGTAGATGGTTAGAAAACGAACAAATACAAACGGACGCTTTAGAGTTTGCCTGCAAATATTGTATGCCAAAATATGCTTGCCCAATATTCCGCGATTTGTACGACTTGGACGAAGAAACTCGTAACTTGGGAACTCATAAGTTCGGTTGCGCAAAGTGCCATAGAATTGATATCGCTCAAACCACTGCGTGTTTTTAACGTCACGGCGTCCCCGTGGGTCGGGGAAGCAAGTCAAATAAATTAACTCGTGAAAATGTCGCTAAACATTCGATTTTACAACTCGGCAATACTAATAATTTGTGTCTCCCTCGTTACCTCATAGTGGCACAGGTTTATTAGGAACGCGGTAATCTGTGCACGGGGGTGTTGCACGAAAGGTGGAATTCCATAAGATACCAAACTTCCTCGCTTCAGCGTGAGTTAGCGCTACAAGTACTACGTTAGCACGGGGAGAAGTATCGCTTGGAAACGAAAATGTCAACGTGGATGCAACGAACAACCACAGCAAAAAAGATCGCGTCGTATTTGTGTGCTACGATTTTGAAACGCAACAAGACGAGACGCTCGAAGGTACCGAGAACGTCAAAATTCACGTACTGACTCTCATCGTCGCGCAGCAGATTTGCGAAACGTGCGCCGCGATAGACGACATGTCGGTGCGATGCCGTTGGTGCGTAATGCGCGAATTTATATTTCGTCGTGATCCGGTAAAAGAGTTCGTCGATTTTGCAACGCAAACAACAAAATGTTTTAAAAAGATTATTTGCATCGCACATAATGCGAAAGCGTTCGACGCGTAATTCATACTAAAATATTTAGTCGAGAATACGGAAACATTGGAAAAATCGCAAGTAATTTTAAACGGGACAAAAATTAAATAGTCCGTTACACCTCCGGAACAAGAAAAAACAGAAACTGATGAAGTACCGGATTATGCCATGAACCTCAAGTGTTGGGCGATGCGAGAGATAAGGATACTCCAATAGTGTATGGTCTCTCCTTTTTACTGACGAAATGCTAACAATAAGTAAAATTGTCAAATATACTAACCCTGAGATTTCACGAAAACGAAAAAATGGTGCAAAATCAGATTTATCTGATTTGCCTGATATTAATCTCGAGGAATTAAAAACCGTTATAGGAATTTTATACTTTCGCGGATTACCAAGAAAATGTCCTAATTCTGTAGTATCATGGAGATTATATCCCGATTGGAAAAACGAACCTAGCACTTCAACTTCAACGGCAACGGCTATGGATTCCTCTGCAGAAAGTCAGTAACTTCCTCCTGATTCTTTATCTCTTCAATCACAAACGGGAAATGAAACAAGGCGAGCGATTATATCGCTCAATTTCAAAACACCGTTTTCGCTTTTTATTATCATGTTTACAGTTCGGTGATATAAATTCATAGCTACATGATAATTTAGCTATTCGTGACTTTTGGAATTCATTTGTATCGAATTGTCTAAAGTATTATTCGCCGGGTAATGTAACAATAGGCGAGCAGTTTCTGAGTTTTCCCGATGAATCGTCGGTTTTCTTCTCTTCTCGTCATTCTTTTTATTATTGTTACTAATAAAGGAACGAAAACCGGATTCAAAATTATTACAAGGAATGACTCAATAACAAGTTATATGGTAAATGCTATACCTAGATGTAAAAAAGACGATATAGAAACTCATGTTTATAAATTATCAGAACCGATTCGTTACAGTCGCAGAAATATTACTTGTGATAATCAGTTCATCTCTGTGCCTCTAATGCAAAACATGAAAAAGGATTTTTCACTTACAATTACTATGGTTAAACAGTCCCTAAGAAGGATACCGCGAAATATGTTAAATTTTACTATGTCTAATAAGTCATATTTTCTCTATAAGACTAATATGACATTACTTTTATATTCGAAACAAAATAAAAGAGTTTTAGTATTGTCTTTTTTACATAAACGAGAAAACATATAGTTGCTGATGAAGAAGAACCAACCATCATAAAATTTTATAATTTGATTAAAAAAAGCACTGTACACTGATACATTTAACCAAAAATGTTGAGAATACTGCGCGAAGATGTACTGATTGGACGATAAAAATTTTGTATACTATGTTAGACCAAAGCGTTATTAACTAAAATAGAATGGAATAAAGAGCAAATATTAAATTTTGTTTCAAACTGGACATAACAGTTAGCAAAACGCACGAAATGCTAGAGAAAATGTACGGTAGTGATTGTTTGGCTGATTATACCGTTCTTTACGTGTATAATCTATTTCGTAACGGTAGAGAGGATATCTCAGGCGATCCACCAGGATCGCCAAAAACAAGTCGTTCCTCAGAAAACGTGGAAAAGATGCTTTGGTTATTGAAAAGGTAATTCAATTTTCGTTAAATGAAATAATAGCAGCGCGGAGTGGCCCAGGGAAGAATTTCGATATTGAGGCACACACAGTAGACGACGAAGAATAGGACAGGCTGGCAGGGAGACGTGAATAAAATGGGAGAACGCGGAGGAAGAAACAAGTCATTTGTACAAGCCGCCGAATATAAATACCAAAGACAAAGTTAAAAAGTCAGAGCAGTAGAGGAGCGGACCCGGCATTGTGAGTGTCACATATCATCCCCGGCATCGATATTTTGACTGCACGAAGAGGACTCGGACGTCGGACATCATATCGGCGGAAAATCATGGAGAAGGTCGAGGACTATTATGTAACATGTAATCCCCGAGGGGGGGGGGGGTCCATGGAAGCAACATGCAACGACGCGACGACCAGGACATCGTCGAGAAATTCATTTATGAACTGTCCAAGATGCGTGGGAGATGTCTCGATGTGTGTGTGTGTGTCTCTCTCTCTCTCTCTCTCTCTCTCTCTCTCTCTCTCTCTCGGGTCAGGTCCAGGGTACATTACCAAGGAAATGTTACTGCCGATCTTGCCGCGCGACGCGGAGGTAGTAAGCGCGGGTGTCGCAACCGCGCGCGCGATGGTGAATTACGCCTGCTAGAAATATATATGTATATATGTATACTCCGATAAGCGATAATCCTACATCGTTCTGGACATAGAAGTGTCGGAGTTGCCGAGTGACCAAGTCAAAAAATATGACAATGTTGTGTCATTTTACTGTTTGCATTAGTGTAACTATAGCGCGCGCGCACTTTCGAGAACATTTACAAGCTACTGCGACCAAATGAGAAAGCACTTATGATGATCCTTAAAGGTGCTTGAAATCCTTTGATCGGACCGCTATGTGTCCACAAGACTCATCGTGGAGCTCACTGACATACATATAAAAAGTATATACAGAATTCTGGAAAAAGATTTGGACAAATCTTCCTGAACGTCACGTCGTCTTCGTAGATTCAAGTACCGGACAGAGAAGGATAGAAATATAAGTAATAAAGGCTCAAAAGATTAAAAATCAGTTTGAGTATATAGAGCTTAGAGCAGTAACAAGGTGTTGACGTTAATAATTCTATATTTGAGTTAAAAATCTACAGACATTTCGGTCCATTATAGGACCATCCTCAGTGTCGAAATACAAAATTAGTCAATCGGTTAATAAATTATCGCATAGTTGAAATAGCTGTATTGTGAGTGGACGACACTGTAAAATTATAATAAAATTTCTTCTATTTTATGTTAACGATAGAAATATTAACTAAACTCGACCAAATGATGTGCTCCATTATGGGCAATTTTTTTATCAGCGAGAGCAGGGAGGGCAATGTTATTAGAGTGCGCGCCAAGGGTCGCAAGTGCAATGTAGATATCATAACATTAATGCAAGACATTCTCTACAGACGTCTCCGGAGATATATCCGGAGTCTTTAAAAAGTACAAACCAAACATAAATAATTACATATTAAAAACCGAATAAAGAAGCAATTTTCTTGTTCAATTTAAATATATGTCTCCCACGTACGTTTGTCTTTCACATAGTTAATTTATTCCACCGTTTCACACTATGCATATTTTAATAAAAACCAAATAAAAAAAGTTTTTTTGTTCCATTTAAATATATATCTACCATAATAAATATTATTTTTTTCATAGTATACGCTAGAGCGATGTTTCCTTGCCAAGATACATTATCTGTCAAATACATACACTGCTAACGCTAGAGCAATGTTTCTTTGTCAAGATACATTATCTGCAATGACATATTTTTTGTAATATATATATATATATATATATAAAATTAATTTCAAAAAATGACATCTGATAAGTTTTTATCACACGATGTTTTATATGTATGGAATAAAACACAACTATTTAAATTATAAATATAAATTATGAGTAAGATATCGCTTTATCAGATATTATTTTACAAATAAAATTGTCTGTCCGTAATGTGAGTTACATATATTTTGTTATAATAACTCGTACAAAAAGAATTATTAGTAATATTTTCTAAATTTTTTTATTTTTTTCACAGTTACGCAATCCTGACATTTGTCCAAATCAGTATTAAATCACCACAAAATTATCTTATTACAATCTTTAAACCGTTTAATCACGCAGGTAAAGATATTATTGCATTGTTAAAATATTTATGCAACATTTTGTAGCGCGTTGTACATCGTCGTAATAATCATAGAATGAACAATATCTGTCGCAATCGCATCCATAGTCGCGAAAATAAAGAGGAGAAAAAGATATGTTTTGAGAGATCGACTCAATAATCTTCCTCTTGAACATTGAAAGCGATTTATTGAGAAAAATTTCCTATTCTGATATTATAGACGATTTCGCGGGAAAAAGCACGTAAGATATTATTATAATCATATCATATTATAGTTGCAAAATAAATGAATTAAACCAAAAATATTGCCAAAATAATAATACATCTAATGTTAAGTATAATTGTATGTTAATTAAGATATGTTTTAACTCTAAAAATAAATTTAAACAAAAACCATACATTATTTCGTTCAATTAAATATTATCCTATTTAGAATATAGCATTATTTGTATTATATTAATTACAGTTTCTTTTTCAGTGCTCAAATGTTCAATTATTTTTGAAAAAATCCTTGCCTTACATAGGCCTCCATTAAAATCTGCTTAGAGCCGCATATTAAGTTAATCCAGCCCTGGCGATCTCGGAGCGATTTCTATAGTATTGTGGACACAAAGCTTAACAAGAGCGGATAGTTTAAGAGCTATAAGGGTTTAACTCAATCAGGGTTTAACTCATTGTCAGTCATCTCGTCATAAAATTTAAAAGTAATGGTACGTTTGACCCTTCGATATTCGAAAAATGCAAAAGTTTGGTGCCATTTCAGGATGTAACACAGCTTTCTAATTTACTCTGCTCGACACTCGTAATAAATTTCTTTTTTTCTTGTTTTTCAGAATTAGCTATAGCTCATTCCGTAAATGATTTACCTTGAATGCAAGCGGTGTCCTACATCATAAAAGAATTTCTAACAGACAGATGAGTTATATTCGTTATAAAACAGCTATAAAACGATCTTATCCGTTTCTGTTTTCCTTTCCTTTCCGAATCGAAATAAGATGCTTAGACTAAAGCTCGAAATTATAACCAGTGAAAGTTACTTTTTTTGTATTTTAGGATTAGCTATGGTACGTTTTATGTATACCTTAAACGCAAATAGTCCAAAAACATAAAAGAAAGACGGATTAGTCACACTATGTCATAAAGCGGTTCTGCCCGTTCCTCTTTCCCCGCCCCCCTCCGTCAAAATAAGATGCTCAGAGAACTTCTTGCACAATGCTAGGCAATAGGCAATGGACACAGAGTTTCCATCACGTTGGAAATTCTGTACCTATTGCCTGTTGCCAACCAAACATAGCATTCGAATTTTTTAGGTTGTAATTAACGATTTTTTTGTTATTTCATGTTCCTATTGCCTTTTGCTTAGCATTGTGCAAGGGGCTTAAGGCTCGAAATCACCACGTAATAAATTACGTTTTTTTTCACGCTACGTTTCATAAATTTTGAACGCAGGTAGTCCTAAATCAATAAAAAATACTTTTTTTTTTAAATGGATATCGTATCTACGGTGATCCGGTGACCATAAATCTTTTATTGTCAAGAACAGTATTTTATTTCAAGTAGCTGTTCTTCGGATTTATTTATTTTTTCAATACACAATTTTGTTTCTTTTATTTTTACAATAATGGAAAATTCTTTTCTACTTAGCATTTCAATGTCTAACGTCGTACTAACAAAAGAATTTTTACGGAAACATAAATAATTTTTAAAGCAGTGAAAAGTTGAAACTCTGGAAGCTTGCATTTGCACAAAATGTAACTATTATTATAGATAAATTAATAAATGTTGACGCAGTTTTTATGATTTTCTGAAAAATAATTATGTACTTAAAAAAATCCATTTATTTAAAAAATATCGCTGAAAGTAATTTTTAATTTTAATTTTTTATATATTTTAGATATACCTAATTTGATAAAACTAAATTTGTGATTAATAATATTTATATTTTTACGTGCATTTTTTTTATACAACATCTTTTCTCTTCAATTCCAAACTTCAGCTCGAGACTGCGTTTCAAAACCGACATATAATTGACACGTAGTTTGATAAGTGAAAAAATATTACATTCTTTTTATTTTACATACATAAAAATATCCAGCTAATACTTTTTGTAAAAAAGAAATCTGTAGCAAAATTTTAATTGTTAAAATGTCAATATTTTATTTGCAATACAACTTTATTTTTTTCTTATTTATCTCTGCAATTTGAATCTACATAAACCTAACTATTTCAATAATTTTTTTCTGATATCTGTAAATTTATTTATTTTTATTAAAATTTAATTCTAGATGTAAGTATTTTTTTCTGATTTCTATTGTGTATAAGAAAAAAAGTTTCATTTTTATGTTATTTTAAATTTAAAAATTTGCTTATTTTTGTATTTGTATATATTTTAGAATAATTTAATAATAATTCAACAACATTAGAGCAAAATATTTAGGTTCTTATTTTAATTTTATTAACAGCATATTTATAGTTAAATGACTGTTGAGATGTATTTCGTATTCTCTCTCTGTATGTGTACTTGTGCGAGTGTACCTTGAGCACAATAGCACACTAAATTAACAAATAATGAATCAATGTACTTGCGCGAGTATAGCCTCAAGCACACTAGCTTAGCAAATTAACAAATAATAAAAGACAAGTTCGAGATGAAATACTTGTTAAATTCTTTTATAGTTCATCCATTTTAGGATAGCGGATTTACGAAGTTTTATATTCATTTTTAATATAATCATAATAATGTCGATACGATATATTTGATTTTTCTGACATTTTTCATAAATCTGTTACTTCATTGAGAATTTTTTGATCGCATTTCAATTAAATATTTATTTAAAAAATGTATACTATATATATACATAATTATACATTTTTTAAACCTTTACATATATACATATAAAAATGAACTTTTAAAAATTAATTTTTTCCTCTAATTGGTATTAAATTTGAATTTTTGGAATAAAACGATCTGAATAAATGAAAAGAGATAAATGACTATTTTTACTCAAATATTATTACTTACCGGAGTTACTCCGCCCTCGCGCCGGTTAGTTGTTAGCTGATACCTCTTTTGCTTTCCTCTATTGCTCTCTGGTTTTTATTTTTTATAGTTCCTTCTTTGCCTCTGACAGAATATCCAAACTCCTTCACTTCACTTATACTCGCATCACGATGCACAACAGCGGAATTATAGTAGGACTGATCTGTTACACATACAATATTCAAATAAAAATAATATTTAAAATAAATATATCAAAAAATAATTTTTGCACGCAAATATCTTGTTCCTAACTTCGACAAATTTTTCAGAAAAAAATAACATTTTGATAAAAATGTTTTCGCAGATATTAATTTATATAAAATTTGGTAAGAAAAAATCTAATAATATAATTTAAATTATTATAAATCTTAAATATTTAAAGATATTTTGTAGGTATATTTGTTAATATTAAACATGTTGTAAAATATTTTCTAAATATTTTTAAAACATTAAAATACAATCTGAAATATTTTATATTTATTAAACAATATACTACGTGCAATACATTATTGTATTATACAGTGATCTAAAATGTACCATTGTGCAAATAAACAACTATTTCCATCAATAATAAATAATAAAATAAGTTACGAAATGTTTCAGCGATTTGCTGTCACATCTGGCTATCTTTTTGGCCTTCTCCTTCGCTCTTCTCTTTCTATT